GTTGGTTTGATTGGCAGCACATCTGAAGTGTTTGAATTGGCGCTTCAATACTGCCAGGTGAGACAGTGAAAAATATATTCATTTAACAATTATATAAATATAAAATAGTCTGTTTAAAAACTACATCTGATTACACAGTACCATTGTTTTGTGGAAATAATAAAATATCAATAACACAAATGCAGCAATGTTATTCTTTATGCTTATGTTCAGTCCAAAACAAAGCAAATAGTTCAAACTGACTTTGTTCATACAGTGTAGGTCACAAATTAAATTGTTCTTGAGATATTCATCAGTGTAAGGATAATATGACATATACAGATTTACTGCAAATCAGGAACAGAATCAGGCTGAAGTCCCATTTCCATTTCCTTACATACCTCTTCCACAATCCCAGTGTGTAAAATGTAATAATTGTATCTTTAAAGACAATATATAGAACAATAAGCTGGTTAGAGTTAATAAAGAGTTTTGTTTTATTAAAAATCTCATGATTTGTAAGTTCTAAGTCATTGTGATTTAATTTCAGCTCATGTACGGCCCTGATCACATCAGCTCTGTGTACGGACGCAGAGACACCAGGCTCTCACCAACACTGGCAGCTTTTGTCAATGGAGTAGCAGTAAGTATTTAAATAATTTGACAATATTAAAATTACACTACTGTCATTTTTAAACAAGAATAGTAAATTAAATCATGTTAACACAGCAGCATGACAGCTCTGTGGTTAGCACTGTTGCCTCAGAGCCAAAAGGTCCTGGGTTCAATCCCCTGGTTTCAAACCCCACCTGGGGTCTTTCTGAGTGGAGTTTGCATGTTGTTCTCGTGCTTGCATCGGTTTCTCCGGGTACTACCGTTTCCTCCCACAGACCTAAAACATGCATGTTAGGCTGCCTTCAGGCCCAGGCCTTCCTTACAAAAGAGATCTGTGATCTCAGTGGGATTTGCCTAGTTAAAGAAAGGTTAAATAAATGTTAAATGATATTTAATGAATAAATAAATAACATCAAGCAAATTTAGAAATAAATATGTATCAATCCAAAAGATCTGTCTAATTTCAAACCATCCAACTCAAATCTGTTATTTTGCTGCAGACACATTCCATGGACTTTGA